AAAAGAAAAGAAAAGAAAAGAAAAGAAAAGAAAAGAAAAGAAAAGAAAAGAAAAGAAAAGAAAAGAAAAGAAGTAACTTCTCCCTTCTGGCCAACAAAAACAATTTTAATGGCTTATCACCATCTTTTAATACAATATCTACTCTCTTCACCCCATAACTTGTCTCTTAACTAAAAAAACAAAGTCCAAAAACCTTGTCCTTCATTCTTTATCAGCAAAAGTCCAGTAAGGGAAACCAGATACAACTAATTTTCTATTTTAACCTTGACCAAATAAGCCAACTCTGTATTCCTTCCCTGAATTTTTAACAATTATTTCTACTTCCAAATTTCTAAAGTGAATGTATGACATCACACAGAGAATGAGGCCTCCGTCTTGTTTTTGTTTTGTAATATATATGCATTACATTATTAGCTCATTTATTAACTTAATTTGCATAGCCAATTCATGACAAAATTCCCTGAAGAATTCCGAAACAAATGCCACAAATGAAAATATAATACAAATAATAAAATTATTTGAAAATGGAATTCAAACACAGTTGTTTAAAACAGACCTACATGATAAAATAGAAATTATTTACAAGGCTCAGGTGAAGAATATTTTCATTGGCATTGAAATGCTGCAATATGATAGACTGGCAATAAGTTTCATAAGTGGAGTGCAACTATTGAAAAGTGCATCTTCCTGAAGTATATCTCTCTCACTTTATTTAATGGGAGAAAACTGCTTGATTTTAAGTGCTCTGCATATTTATATATTTTAGAGCAGATCAAATGCTTTACAGAGCATGGAAGCAGTATAGTCAACCTAAATGCCAGAGTCATAAATCATAATTTTACATTTTGATTTTAAAATCTACCAAAGCACATTATTTAGGAATCATAAACTATGATTTTAATATTCCCAAACTTTCTTTGAATCTAATATTTAACAGATCTGTTTTGCTGAAAAACTCACCTTAATGGCTCAAATTATATATGACATGCTGTCTATATTTTCTTCCATCTCTAAAAATTAACTAAAAATCTCTAAAATTTCTAAAATTATCCTCATACATATACAGAATCTTTTTGCATAAAGCATTAAAATATTCCTCTTTCAAATGTGGTAATTATAGCTTTCAGTAACAACATTAATGATCAAAGAATCTCTCTCGTTTGCTTTCTCTAATGCTTAAAAATTTTCAAATATAAATTCATTCAAATTAGCACTGTCTTCAAGCACACAAAAATTCTGGCATGATTACCTTAATGTTTTTGCAAGCACTTTCCCAAAATGTAAGCATATTTTAAAAAATCAGAGAACAGCACTGAAAAAAAAATGGGAGAAGTACAGAAACAGAAGGATAATTGCTTCTAGTTCAGGCATAGTTAAGAAACTGCAAATTATGCTGATTAGTATTAGCTAGTAAGGCAAATTCATCTTGTTCCCACCCTTACTAAATATGGGGGGGGGGGGAATGAGCCATGCAAGAAGAAAAGGAGGCAGCCTATTAAATAATAATGGCTTTTTATAGGCCATTTTTAATCTAATATACATGAAACAAACTTGTTTTTCTTATAGTATCATTTGTCCAGTCCATCCCAATTATTTGAAAGTTGAATAGACTATGCTGCATTTAAACAAAGAAACTATAATGAATGATAATATGCATAACGAAATATATTCATTGACTGTGAATAATGAAGAGTGGTAGAGTCAATAAAAGCTTGTATTAATTCCATTATCTAAAGATAATATTAATGGCAGGTGTTATGAATTATTTAAAGATAGAGTAAATACGTGTTGATGCAAACCACTGATGTACAGCACTGAATTACAACAGTGAGCTATGTAGCCTTTGAATTCATTCAGAACTTCAGATTATCTGAACACTCAATCACTTGGGAGAAGCTGTCTTCCTTTTCCATTGACTGCAAAATGTACTGTGTAGTCTTATTCTAACAGTCTCTCAGTGTACACTAGATGCATGCATTGGAGCTTTATAATGGGATGTTTTTCAGAGTGATACTTCAAGAATCAGTTTCAAACTATTCACCTTAGGCCCAAGTGCTAAGTCAATAGAATCTATTCTTTTTTCCTCTTTAAAAGACAAAGTAGGCTTGAACTGAAAGAATATGCTTAGAAAGGAAAATAGGAAGGTCCTGGCTCACTAGTTTATTGGACAGGTTTATGTTCTAAGTTTTAGGTTGAAATTGTAGCAGATTTCTAATAAAATAGCCAATGGAAACCTGGATTATTAAGCATAACATATGTTATACCATCCCATCCCATATATGTGTCCTCCAGAGGTGTTGAAATGATCACTGAGAATACCAAGCCAGCATGAACTTTAGAGGGACGCCATGCTGGGGAAGTCTGTTACTATATTCCCTTTACACAAATTCTCCTCCATTGTAAGACTGTACATCATTCTTTTTTAAACAGGCTGAGTGTGTAATGTTGGAGAACGATGCAAAATGTAGAACCTTATTTTATGCAAAGTATCCATTTAGTTACCTATTAAAACCAATAGAAATTTGGAGACCACTTCTATGGGCACAGCATCTCACCTGTAATACCATTCTTCCAAATTACTGTAGATAAAACTTTAAATTCTTTATTAAGAAACATTGCTGGTAGAAAACCTGGATATTCACTAACTAAAATGTTTGACTGTAGTTTATACTTCCACTTTACAAAACTGAAAACAATCAGGCTCCACATTCACAATAGTGTGTTAGAGCGTGTGTGTGTGTGTGTGTATAAAAATAAATAAATAAAAGGGTGATGGACTTATGGTGCCGAGG